CAGGCAGGTGTGATACTTGAACACATGACATGTTATGATGTCTGTTGATTGCAAAATGTTATACACAAAAAATGAGCATGTATTTACAAAACCCAACATCTCTATATATACACACACAATGAGCCGTGAGGGCATCTGCAAATGAACCAGCCGTTACACTTGAGTGCACACCCACCCGCTCTGACTGGGTTCGGTATCCCGGCTGCTTCGTTTCTTGGGAAGTAAACCCAAGTACACAATATTGCACTTTTGATTTGCGATTGTACGCTTATAATTTTGTTTATATGTTTTTTCATAACCAGCAATGTATATTATATGTCATGAATAAGTGATAATTGTGCTTTAATTATGTTTGATTTTTTGGTTGCATGTGACCTTTAAAATAAATTATCAAATAGCATACGTACCATACACAATATATTTCAATCACATTTTATTCACTATCAAGCTATATGTAGATACTTACTACTGATTAAGTTGAGTACAATGTTAATAACATGGTCTTAGACTATAGGTTAATTTTTTTTATTTAATATGAAAATTCTTTGGAAAAGTTATACTAATTTTGGCCAACATATACTAATTTTTTAATCAGTTTTTGGCCGAAATACTAATTAGGCTAAATTAGGGTTGGCATCTCTGCATTAAAATAGTGTGCTTGTTGTTGCCCTGCCTGGAGCTTGGCATAGAAGGATAAAATAATGAGTAGTCGTCTAAGTGTTTGGTGTAGTATCAGTGTTAAACTGAAAGCATGGTATCTCAATGGGCTAGCACTATAATGTCATCATTGGTCATAGATTAGTAGGAGCACTGTGGTAGCTTAGTGGTTGAAGCGTTTGCCTGTCATGCCAAAGACAAGAGTTTGATTGCCCGCATGGGTGCAGTGTGTGAAGCCTATTTCTGGTGATATTGCTGGAATATTGCTAAAAGCAGCGTTAAACCATACCTACTCACTCATAGGGCTGGGACGATACACTATGTCACGATACGATACGTATCGCAATATTTTACCTGCGATACGATACGTATCACGATACGTACACCTTGAAAGAATGACACGGTACTATGATTTAAAATGAATGGCTGGTAGTAGGCGAATATTACTGAACAGACAGCTTGTTTAACGTTAGTTGTAAACTTGTAAAACTTGCGTATTTCTCACTAAATAAGTACTTTAACATATTTAATAAAATACCATTTTGAAAAAAAGTTGTGTATCGTTTTGTATCGATACACCAGTCGACGTTATGATAGCTGTATCAAACGTAAATGTACCGCGATGTATCGGTGCGTCGGTGAATCGTCCCAGCCCTACTCACTCATGGAATAGTAGAAGCAGCCATGCAGGCACATGTCGGTATAAAGGCAATAGTCTTTCAACACATTAAACGCCATTTCACCTCACCTCTCTTCATTTGGTCTGGTCTCACTTAACAGATTCTAAAATAACTAGGTTTCTTTTTTAATAATACAGATGCTCAAAGACCAGAGGTCATGTTCATAATGTCAAATAGTTTTGATCTGTTTGACAAATATTGAACAGTTTTTATTTTCATCCTGTGCATGACAATAACCACTTAACTTGGCAGATGCATTTAAGATTCAGAACATGTCATCTGTGTGTGTGTGCGTGTGCGTGTGCGTGTGCATGTGCACACAGGGAGATGGCATGTCCTGAGTCAAATATGCATTCACCTATATATATATATATATATATATACGGGTTTACCGTTATATACGGGTTTCCTACGTCCTCTATGCATAAAAATTGATAACTGACGCAGCAAAATTGATTAGAGTGTCCACAGGGATGCAGAAAAAGTCCAAATACTTTTTGTAAAAATATCGATCGAGTAACAATAACTTATCACTCAGTCTGCTACGAGCTGGGTTATGGGCAATTAAATTGCTGTAATAATGTAATGATCACGATACACAATACAATAACAGTAACTAAATTACAACAATATTACAACATAGCATTAATAATGATATTTAAGTGTCTGGGACCCCATTTTGTTGTCCAGGACCCCTGAAAATTAAGAGTACAAGTCCCAGGGACCCTCAAAGACAGGACTTGAGGTAAATCCCTGATACAGCCAGCACCCAGCAGTGTAATATCTATGTCAACTGTCTATATATACATGTATACATATAGCCAGCAGTGTAATATCTTACGTAACATCTGGCATAGCCTTTGTGGCAGTTTCTGTTGTGTTTTTCCTTCGTAACTACATGGTTCTTTGATGATGTGAGGTTGTACACAACAGCAGCAGTGGAATGTAACACATGAGGCTGTCAAAGGGCCATAGAGGGTGTGTGACAGATATTGCAGACTGACAGAAAACAGAACTTACTGACTGACAGGAATTTCTGGAATAATTTTTCATAATTCACAGGAGAACAGAACTTTTTATTGCATTTAGGCTGCTTATAATAAAGCATATATGAGTGAGTGAGTGAATTTGGTTTTTGGCGCTTTTAGCAACATTCAAGCAATATCATAGCGAGGAACACCAGAAATGGACTTCACACATAGTATCCATGTGGGGAATCGAACCCGGGTCTTCGACGTGGTGAGCTAAAGCTTTAACCGCCCAGAGAGCATATGAAGTTATATTGAAAAGGGTACATACAATATAAGTAGAGTAACATAGCTTATATTTTGACATTAGATCAGAAACTCACTTTGCAACCTTACAATGACGACCAAAGTCTTGGACCTCTAGAGGCAGTGATAGATACTGCTACAACTGAACTAAAACATTAGTGTCAGGTAGTCTACAACATGTTGGCTTGAACTGCAGTGTTTGAAATTAAGAAAAGTTAGTTTATTAGCTCGTTGAGGTGTAGTGCTGTAATATGTGAATCCTGTGATCCAGTTATTGTAATGATTCAACCAGGGTCCCAATCCACAGAGCATTTGTAACATTATGACCTGTCGTTACTCTATAGTTTATCATACGCTTACGGATATCATAGTGCTACGAACGTTTTGTTGATCGGGACCGTGAACAGTAGGTCTGTCAAAGAGGATTGGCTGTATTGGCTGTTTATATGAAGTATTACCTATACAGGTAGACAGAAACCTGAAGTTGAAGTATTGTTGTTAATATTTGGGTTAAATTATGACCGTCATTCTTAATTTTGAACATTATGGTAATGACAGTAAGTGTAATTATATTCTGATGTTTTGTGTGTTTTTCTTAGCTATTAGAAATAAGATGAATTATCATTAGGGAATAAATTACAGTTTCACTTTTGATAGGGATCTTTTTTTCTTTCCATTATTTGGGCAGTGTGGTAGCCTAGTGGTTAAAGCATCCACTTGTCACACCGAAGATCCAGGTTCGGTTCCCCACATGGGTACAATGTGTGAAGCCAATTTCTGGTGTTCCCCACCGTGATATTGCTGGAATATTGCTAAAAGCAGTGTAAAGCAAAACTCACTCACTCACTCTTTCCATTATATATGCTGGTAGTCATTAAGTGTCAAGTGTATATTTAAAGAATAACATATCTGGTTGCCCCTATCAAAAGTCGAGTGGTATAAGTGTTCTGTAAAAGTGTCGTGTAATATTTCTAAGTGTTTGTAAGCAGTATTGAGGAAAACCCGATTGCTGCAACAACCCAAGCTGTTACTGTGTGAGATGGGTCATGTTGACTGGTGTCTGAACCCAATAGGAAGGGGAAAAACTCTTGCTGATAATCAGTATAATAACCATGATAACTAACACAGCTATGTGGCAATCATTGTGGCCGCATGGAAGTTTGGCGGCATCAGAAAAAGGGCATGTGATGAATTTCAGGATTTCTGAGACATTGATCATCACAAGGATACTATGAATCTTGCTTCCCGTGTAATGGTGATAACTGTTCACTGCTGTGTGATAGCAGTTATGTTTTATGTATATTTCGTAATAAAATTTCTGTTGTGCATTTCAATTATGATAGACCAGCATAAGTGAACATGACATAATCTTTTTGTTGAATTTATAATTATTTACGCCTTGAACCACAAATCAGGAATATGTCACTTTCATGTGAACCAAAGTTATATTGTGCCATTTCAATTTCAATCCACATTCCACTGGACCACAACAGATGCTGATCTTTCAGACCAAGGCCTATCTTGCTGTAAGATCATGAGACTGACTATTAGAAGCAAATAGTTTAGTGGCTTTGAGGTCACAGTGACTTTTGATTGAGTGAGTTTAGTGTTACGTTGCTTTTAGCAATATTCCAGCTGGGGACACCAGAAATGGACTTTGTGTATGTTGTGGGGAATTGAACCCTGGTCTTTGGCGTGATGAGCGAACCTTTATGGTGATGGAAAGAGTTATAATTCAACTTACTCATTGGTGTCATGAACACACGTGTACACACTCACTCACTCACTCACTCACTCAGGCTTATATGAGTCATTATGACATTGACCTGTAAATTTTGGTGATGTTGAAACTGCTGTTGTTTCTCATGGGCTTAAAAGTTTGTTGAATCAGGGCTTTATTAATGTAGAGAGACCCATGTGATGTAGTGATTGTATCATCATCTATTGTATTGAACTCTCACTCACTCACTCACTCTTGACATTATTGAATCGGTTGCACCAGATATGAGCAGCATTTCATTTCATCCAATATATATTTGTACTAGAGCTTAATTTTCATACACACGCAACTAATTCCAAATCCCCAATGATTCCTCCCCCATGAATTGATAGATACTTTCCATGCCATGATGTACCCATGTGACTTTGTCATGTACTTATTGTATACATGTACTGTTCATATACAGCAGCACTGGCTACAGTGTTCGTGTTGAGGTGGTGTTGGTTGGTGCCAAGCATGGACCTCAGGCATCTTTAATGGGTCGCTGTGGGCGGGAGAGTGAGGAGCTGGCCAATCCATCACAATGTGTCCCAAGAGAATGGTGGCATTATTGAATTACTCGCCCAATACAGTTGTCATATTAATGTTCCTAATGTTTTCCTCTTCCAGATCTGTCTCGTGCCCAGAAGACATTTGCAGAGGATTTGAAGAATTTCAATTTTGAGTGCATCGGCTCACAGCAGACTGACGATGAGCGAGTTATCGGTAAACATCATATTGAACCTACTTATCACTGACATTCCTTGTTTAGTTAGTTTAGTTAGTACAATGAGCATTCCTAGTTTGTCGAGTGTTAACATGGTATCTATGACTGTACCTCTAGAAGTTGAAGAAGTTGCCAGATCTGATCAGGATGCTATTGTGATTGGAATTATCAGAAAACTCATCTTCAGTATTCTTGTGATAAGCAGCATGACATTCTTGTAGAAAGAGCTCTGTAAAAATGTCTTGATGTTCCAGGAAAGATTTGTATCCAAGGAATGTGCATTCTTGTCATGACCCCACAATTTAGTTAACAAAGTATCAAATTGTGTTATGAGATTGTGACTGAGATATGTAAGTCCCCATTTGATTTTAACCAGTATTTAAATGCTAACGACTTGCTGTAATGATGAGTGTTATCGCCCAGAGAAACTGGCCATGTCATTCATTTCTCCATTAGTTTTTGTAAGTCATTTTTATAAATAATTCTAAAATGTAAATTTGTTAGGACTGAATAGACAATAGCAGCAGTTACAGTGCTTGTTGCTTTTCTCTGTATAATTCATTGTCAAGGTAATATATATTTTGCTCGTGTCATTACTTGTAGGTAAAAAGCCACTCAATGATTAAATAATTCCATTTTGTTTGGCAGCTCCTGTTATCTCCTTTGTAATCGATGCAGTGTTGTTACACTGGGACAATAACAGTACTTGATAATTCTGACCTAATTCAGATGCAGCAGTTGTTCTCAGGAGGCATTTTGTGGTCTTGGTTTGTTTCAGGTCATTGTGTATTGATTATCTTAACTGGTTTCCACTTGCCGAGTACCTTCCTGTGTGTCATTCCCCAGATACTCTGGGCCATTGATGCAACAGGCTGGTAGATATTGTCTACATTATTGGAACATGGCTGTGGGACATGATGCTTGATGAATATTTATGAATGGACTTCTGAATATTTATCATGTTTGGTCATCTCACGAACACACGACTCAAGTTGTGTATTTTTGTTATTGATAGAACATATGTATGTTTTTGGTTGTTTATCATGTTAACATCTCTGTTGTGATTTTTGCTAAACATCACTAATTTTGTTTTGTTTTGTTTGGTGTTTTATGTCGCACTCAGCAATATTCTCGCTATATGGTGGTGGTCTGAAAATAATCGAGTCTGGACCAGACAATCCAGTGATCAACAGCATAAGCATCAATTTACACCTTTGGGATATGATGACATGTGTCAACCAAGTCAGCGAGCCTGACCACCCCATCCCGTTAGTCGCCTATTGCAACAAGCATGGGTTACTGAAGACCAATTCTAACCCGGATCTACAGGTTTAAATATCACTGAATGCAGCGTAAAATCATACTCACTCTCTCACTCACTATCATGTAGATGCAGGGCAGGGATGGCAGTCTTCTGAAACACTGCAATTCACTGTGCAGAGTTATGTCCCTTGGATACCCCCACGCTTATAATCGTGGGGTCAAATCCTCTTTGTCCGATTGTGTTGGTGGGGTAGCCTAGTGGTTAAAGCATTCAATTGTCATGCCGAGGACCTGGGTTCTATTCCCCACATGGGTGCAATGTGTGAAGCCCATTTCTGGTGTTCCCCGCTGTGATATTGCTGGAATATTGATAAAAGTGGCGTAAAAGCCAACTCACTCACTCTTTGCCCTGATTATGTTTCCTGGACTGTCGGCATCAGAACTGTGCATACACTGAAACATACACATTTGTTTTTCTTCCATGTAAAGCTGACAATACATGATGCTAGAAATGTTAAAATAGCAACTCTTCCTTCCCCAACTCGTGTATATCGTTGTTGATCCGGGTTAGAATTGGTCTGTGGCAACCATGCTTGTCATACAAGGTGACTAACGGAATCGAGTTGTTAGCCTCGCTGACTTGGATGACACAATTGCATAGATCGATGTTCATGATGTTGATCACTGGACTGTCTAGTCCAAACTCGATTATTTACAGAATCCTGTCATATAGCTGAGATATTGCTGAGCGCAGCATTAAACAAACAAACAAAACCTTCAGTCGTTCAACCGTTCATTCCCTCACTCATTCACTTGCCTTGATGCAATTTGAGGATGAAAGATGAAGGTGTATATTGACAGTTGGGTAAGATGTAGGTCTCAGCTGTGTGTACGACTACAAAGTAATTGATTTCAACAGCCTTGTCTAGAGGCATGCAGGTCACAATGGAAGATATTCCACCAGAAGAAGTGTCAATAATATTTGTGTTTTATCACTGACAGTGGTACAGGATTTGTTTTATTCAGGAAGTAAAAACTGTTATCAGATGTAGCCTATCCTTCTTATCTCATTTTTATTTATTTTCTGAAATGTCTGACAATTACGGATGTTAAATAAGCCCAAGCATCTTGTCACATGGATCTTTAAAGCATGTACAGCCTTGAAAACAGCAACTAGCTGCAGGGTATAAATATTATTGACACCCAATGTTTAGTATGTGTTATTGTGATGGTTATGAAAAAATAGGCCACGGAACCATTTTTCTTTCGTTATCTTTTTCTTTCCTTCTTTCAATAGGTCATATAAATGATGTGTCAGCAAAAAGTGAAATATTAGAAGGTGGTCGCTAGTACCAAGGTTTTGTCTGTTTGATGGTGGCCATCTGTCAGATTACTGAACCTAGTGCCTCCAGCCCATGTGGTATAAGAGATCAATACTCAATCACTAGGTGGAAGCAAGTTCTCCTCCATATTCACCGGTATCAAACTAGACTCCTTCTCGGTGAGCGTCTGCAGTTGGGGTCACTCTATACTTAATGTTCTCATATCTCCACTATTACACAGAGTTACCCTTATGGTGGGGTAATAATGGCCACCTTATGGCTGGGTTGACATTTCACTGTCCTCCCTGTTTGGTCTGTGTCTAAGGAAATGATGTTCTGGTGATAGGAAGCTGTGTTAATTATTAATTGTTCCCCATGATGAGGAAGCAGGCATCGAAAGTGTGGTATTGAGTCGTGGCAGGTTGCTAGCGACTGAAACAAAAGTTATGGACCATCCAGTACTTTCATTCTGCTATGCTAATAGGTAATCTGTTGGAGTGTGACTGATTTACTATAACAAAATGAAATATATGGAATGCCAGGGCAGAAGCATGCCCAGTCTTGACTGTTCAGAAACAAAAATCCTGTTTGGTGTAAAGTGGTGAGTTTAGTTTTATGCTGCACTCAGCAATATTCCAGCTACATGGTGGCGGTCTGTAAATAATCGAGTCTGGACCAGACAATCCAGTGATCAACAGCATGAGCATTTATCTGCGCAATTGGGAACCGATGACATGTGTCAACCAAGCCAGTGAGCCTGACCACCCGATCCCATTAGTCACCTCTTACGACAAGCATGGGTTGCTGAAGGTTCATTCTAACCCGGACCTTCACGGGTACGGTTTAAAGGGAATAATAGCTGTGAAAATTATATGCATGGATCACTGAAAATCAGTGATGACACCAGGTGTTCATGAAAAGGGTAAACATGTCCTGTCCTACAGGTAGTATTGTATTGTAACTTCTTTGTGTATTATATTTCATTTGAAATGATGAGGGTGGTGGGATAGCCTAGTAGTTAAAGTGTTCGCTTGTCACCCCAAGATCCGGGTTCGATTCCCCGCATAGGTACAGTGTGTGAAGCCCATTTCTGGTGTCCCCATGATATTGCTGGAATATTGCTGTCTGGTGTCCCTTGTGGGATATTGCTGGAATATTGCAAAAAGAGGCATAACACTAAACTCACTCACTCACTCACTCACTCACTCACTCACTCACTCACTCACTCACTCACTCACTCACTCACTCACTCATTTGAAATGATAAAGTGTATCTGTTTGTAGAGGGAAATTAATCTAATACTAAATAGTATTTCAGGGATTGGGTTAGAGAACTTTAACCATTTTCAGGATTATTAGGCATGTTCTGAATTTAGATTGGTTGACACATGTCATCGGTTCCCAATTGCGCAGATCGATGCTCATGCTCATCACTGGATTGTCTGGTCCAGACTCGATTATTTACAGACCACTGCCATATAGCTGGAATATTGCTGAGTGTGGCGTAAAACTAAACACACTCACTCACTCTGAATTTAGAATGGGCCACTGCCCTGGTATCAATAGTAAACTTCAAAGTTTTAATGGGCCATTTTTTATTCTAAAATGGCCTTTCCCAATCCCTGGTATCTTATAGTATAGATGTTTCCCACACTCAAAACTGTTGCTGTCTGGTTTCAGAGCTGACTAGTATTACTACTTAACCATACAGTGACATGGAATTTGGTCATTCTGTTGGAACATATTAAAATGTTACTTCTCAAAAGTTAGCAAGTGAAAAGAGCCTGAACATCACTGAATCAGATACTGTTACAAAACTGGGTAATGATTTAACCCAACTAGTTTGCACATTGAGCTCAACTACTAATAATCCATGTATTGGCACCTTTTTCTACCTAAAGATCTCAAATGACAAGTAAGTGCAAGGACATTAGGGACTCTGGTTGATATGTTACGTTCATTGTTTTAAAGCCATTCATATGTCCAGGGTTTACCTACATGTGTACATGCATACCTGGGTTAAAATATCTCAATCAACAAATGAGCTTTTTAAACAATCCTATTACATGAGGAAAGTCATTAATTAATGGGCTACTGCAGCTACAGCATGCAAGTAATCAAGACATCAGTGTTGCTGATCAATAGCCATAACCCTTTCACTTTGGGGAGTGACATTTTTTATGATTTTGATAGTGTGTAATAAGTTGTAACTGATGCAATTTTCTACATGTTTTGACTTGGACAGTTTCCAAAGATGCTCTGACACAGTATTGTCAATGATGAAGAGTGAGTTTGTACTGGGGCTGGTCTTCTCCAGCAGTTCCTGTTTTAAAGTATTGATGAACAGGAAGAAATAGCTTGGCCATGTGTTTGGGGATGGGCTCTTTGTGGGAGGTCATTTGAAGCCCCATGGGTTCCACATGGCTAGGCATCTTCTTGAGGCCATGGTCAACTGATGGGTCAGATCTTTGGCCATGGTTCTTGTCACATGCTTGGAGTTGAAATATTTTAGAACTTGTCACTGCAGGTGGTGCCAGAGTATGATGGCCGGGGCTCACGTTTGATATGCACTGGTTGCTCCTCTTGGTCAGGGTTTATGTGGGGGCTGTGTGGTAGCCTAGTGGTTAAAGCGTTGGCTCGTCACGCCGAAGGCCCGGGTTCGATTCCCCACATGGGCACAATGTGTTAAGCCCATTTCTGGTGTCCCCTGCCGTGATATTGCTGGAATATTGCTAAAAGCGGCGTAAAACTAAACTCAGTCAGTCAGTCAGTCAGTGTTTATGTGACTTTCAAACTATTTAGCATCTGTACAAGCTGTTTTATATCAGTGCTGGTGAAGGGGTTGAAGTGAAATATGCTGTGAATATTTCATGGTCCGATGTTTTCATAAGAAAATAATTTATATACGCTCCCCCAGGTGCACCACTCTTGGGACTTGAATGTGTGTTGAGTTATGTTGTTTGATGTGAAATGCTGTCCACTTACTATCCAATGGTTGCCTTGTCAATTTGATTTCAGTTATTTACATTACAGCCATGATAAGGCTCTTAGTTATATAATATGTTACCTATAAATTTGTTATTTCCCACCAGAAGGCTACATGCATACATACATGGTATATAAGTGTTTTGATTCCTTCCAGAATGTCACATACATATATGGTATATAAATAAATGTGTTATTTCCCCCAGAATGTCACATACGATACATATATGGTATATAAACATATGTGTGATTTACCCCAGAATGTCACATATATGGTATATAAATATAAGTGTTATTTACCCCAGAATGTCACATGCATATATGGTATATAAATATATGTGTGATTTACCCCCAGAATGTCACATATATGGTATATAAATATAAGTGTTATTTACCCCAGAATGTCACATGCATATATGGCATTTAAGTAAATGTGTTATTTCCCCCAGAATGTCACATTTATATATGGTATATAAATATATATGTGATTTACCCCCAGAAATGTCACATATATGGTATATAAATAAATGTGTTATTTCCCCCAGAATGTCACATTTATATATAGTATATAAATATAAGTGTTATTTACCCCAGAATGTCACATGCATATATGGTATATAAATAAATGTGTTATTTCCCCCAGAATGTCACATACGATACATATATGGTATATAAATATATATGTGATTTACCCCCAGAATGTCACATACAGTGAAGCCCCGTTAGTCCGGACTCCGATAATCCCGGATGTCTTAAGCCTTCCTTTCAGCTTGTTACCAATATAACCCCCAGAATGTCACATATGCTGTACATTTTACACTTTGATTGACACCACAATGGTGATATATTGGTTAATATTAGACAGACAGATGTCACGTACTTTGATTTTGCTTTACCAATGCTGCAAGAATGTCAACATGTGACCAAATACATATGGTATTCATATGAATGCTTATTTGATTTATCCCAGAATGTCACATATGGTATATAAATATATGTGTTATTTACCCCAGAATGTCACATGCATATATGGTATTTAAATAAATGTGTTATTTCCCCCAGAATGTCACATTTATATATGGTATATAAATATAAGTGTTATTTACCCCAGAATGTCACATGCATATATGGTATATAAATAAATGTGTTATTTCCACTAGAATGTCACATACGATATGTATATGATATGTATAAATTTGTTATTTTCTGCCATGTATGGTGTATATATACAGATATAAGAGGTGTGCAGTCTGTGCTGCACCTACTCAGGGGAAACCTGATAAGTGCTAGACTGATAGTCATCAGTTTCCTCCCTGGCCTGCCACAGGAAAGACGATATTTGGCTTCTCTGACCTGTACTAACAAGTCTAGCTAGCTGCATACATTGGATGGATAACTTTCTGTAGGATCTTCAACATTGCTTCATGTTCCTTCAATCACTCCAATCACATTCAGCTGTGATTTAACTCACGTAGATAAGCTTTGGTAAAGTGTGATTATTTTGCAGACTTAGATGCTTTTTACAATGAGGGTTAACACTTGAAATGTATATAGAGAAAATAGCTATCAGTTCTGTCAACTCATACCTAGGCTGTACCTAAAAATAAATTGATATATTTGGTGAAGCTGTCAAGGTTAGCATTATTAGTGAGTGAGTTAAGATTTACGCCGCTTGTAGCAATATTCCAGCAACATGGGTTCAAAAATCCCATCGACTGACGCCCGGGGCAAGTCAGTTTTAACCTCGGGCAATCAAATAAAGGTTTCTTACTTGTCCGTGGGCTACTAGATAATTTCCACGTATGGTTTCAAACTACAAATAAACCTGGATTTAATTTCATATCTGCTCAAAATGTAGCTATTAAATTTCGCAATGATAATAAAGTAGAGTTATCTTTCTTTGCTATTTATCACTTTTCAATAAACAGTCCAGTAAACATTAACATCAAATACCATGTTGATTTATTCTTTCATAATTACATCATCATGATTATGTCATAAAATCAGGGCAAGTGGAAAATTAGTCGGACAAGTTACTTTCTTAAAGTAACTTGCCCTGTGGCAAGTGGCTTTTTAGACAAATTTTGAACCCCTGAGCAATATCACAGCAGGGGACACCAGAAATGGGCTTCACACATTGTACCCACGTGGGGAATTGAACTCGGGTCTTCAGCGTGATGAGCAAACGCATTAAATCACTAGGCTTACACCACAGCTCTGGTTAACATATGAGGCAATTGGGCACACAGGAATTTTGAACACTTGATGTATATGACCACTGACACATGTTTAGCTGTTTGACACACATGCTTGTTCATGTCATCTGAAAAACACAGGGGCAGTGAGCAGTTTTTGATGATTGGGATATGAGAAAGGGATGATTAGTTTTTGTATCTTGACACACGATATTAAGGATATATGGGACAGTGTTCAAATAAATTCAAATAAATTATCAATTGTCATTTCTTCAAGATTTTGATTGAGATATTGACTGATCACTTTCTGTGAGTTAAATGCATTTCTTAATTTCCTTGAAAATGTGGCAGAGCTCTGATTGTTTTGGTGGCAATTTCTTTGTTGTTTTCTAAAATTGTAGTGTATTTTATGTCGGTCTCATCCAGTTGCAGTTTAATCCTGTGATTATACACTGCCACTAGTCTGTTTGTCCGACAACTAAAAACGACTGGTGAATCTCTCATGAAATCAAAGCCTCTTTATAGTCATATGAAAGGTTAGTTGGTTGGTTTGTTGTTTAACGCCTGACTCAGCAATAATCCAGCTAACTGAAAGCAGTCTGTAAATAATCGAATCTGGACCAGACAATCCAGTGATCAACAGCATGAGTATTGATCTACACAACTGGGATACGATGACGTGTCAGCCAAGTCAGCGAGCCTGACCACCCGATCTCGTTAATCGCCTCTTACAACATAAGCATGAGTTATGAAGACCAATTCTAACCCAGATCTTCACGGGTTCATATGAAAGGATCGTGTGATCTTTACCTTTTCTTGAGTAGTGTGTAACATAAACCATTAGTCTAAAATCAGGTATGAATTAGTTGGGAAGTATAAAATTCATCTACAGACCCGTTCAAAAAGTATTTCAGACACTTGACGTAATTTCCATAGACTTACATGTTATTTCAGTGTAGCATTAATAATTTTCATGAAGTGTGTTTAGGATGGATCTCTGTAAAATTTGACAGGCAAATTTGAAATCATCTCTGCTCTGTGCACATAATTTCAGCTCAATGTTCCAACCACTATTTCACTAATGACATCACTTTTATCAACTTGCGTATGGTTCCACAATGCACAATCCCATAGGCTGCCATGTTCAAGGAGTTCATGGCACTGTACGTATGTTGATTAAATTGTTGCCATAAATAAGCAACGGAAAATTAAACAGAAATTATATGATTGTAGGTAAGATGATTCCTCACAAATGTAGACCGCCTCCGTGGTGGTTAGAGTGGTTAGAGTCGGAGGATTTTTTACCCGAGCGAGAGTCAAAGGTCGCCGGTTCGATCCCGACAGCGTCATACCAAAAGACATTAAAATATGGTACTTGTTTGTCCCTGCCTGGCGCTCGGCATTAATGGATACAAGGACTGGTCGGCTCGGAGTCAGTATAATGTGTCTGAGTGGGGTATTCATGCTTCACTGCGGCAATGTATCTCAGTGGGCTAGCCCTATAAAACCAGCTTAAGTCTGGGCTAGTACAAGCAGCTGCGCATGCACATACACACGTATGCACGTCGTCATATGAGCCAAAATATTCTCAAGCACGCGGCGTTAAACCCAATTTCACCTCACCTCACCTCCTCACCTCACCTCACCTCACCTCACCTCACCTCACAAATGTGCAAAATTTGACTTGGATCTTACAAAAATTAAATTCATGAAAATTATTTATGCTACACTAAATTAACACATAAGTCTATGGAACTTACGTCAAGTGTCTGAATACTTTCTGCACGACTCTGTACCTCTGTGAACTTTCTGGCATCAGGTTTCATTTTTGGTAAGCATTTGTTTGTTTTATGTGATACTGTGTGCTGTTGTATAAAACAACCTCAGCTCTACAACTGTCGTAAGTCTATGCTTAAGTATGGGAGTTACAATCACCTTGGCACTAAGATCACTTGTACAAAGGCACCCTGGGCATAATGGCTTTAGCCACTGTTGTTTCACAGTATGTCCAGAAGAAAACATTATTTTTGTGTTCAGTTCTGTTAATCAATGGCTGTCTGCTTGGGGTGTTTGATTATTTGATATTGTTTGAAATGTTTGCCTTGGGGAATATCAATTGTTTTAACTAATATATATTTGCTGTTGCATTTCAGCAGTGCTAGTATTTCAGATTCCGCTCTGTGAAGCGTGTTAACAATGCCTGTTGGGTAATGGATGTTTTGGCAGGAATCATACTGATCAAATAAACCAACAATCATTGTCGGTGAAGGCCGGACACTTGAGAAGGACTGTTGGCCTTAGTGCAGATAGGTCTTCTGTAAATCCCTGAATTGCATGGCGTGGACTTGAAAATGACTGGAGGGACACAACGTTAGTGGACTAAAAGCGATTGGGTGGTCACATTGTCAGTGGACTAACTGGAGGTGAGGTGGTCACATTATTAGTGGACTAAATGGAGATGGGGTGGTCACATTGTTAGTGGACTAACTGGAGGTGAGGTGGTCACATTATTAGTGGACTGACTGGAGATTGGGTGGTCACATTGTTAGTGGACTGACTGGAGATTGGGAGGTCACATTGTTAGTGGACTAAATGAATATAAGTTGGTTACAGCATGTCTGCACTAAATGGATAAAGATTGATCACAATGTTAGTGAACTAAATGAAGATCAAGTGATCACAATGTTAGTGGACTAAATGAAGATAAAGTGATCACAATGTTAGTGGACTAAATGAAGATCAAGTGATGACATTGTTAGTGGACTAAATGAAGATCAAGTGATCACAATGTAAGTGGACTAAATGAAGATCAAGTGATCACAATGTTAGTGGACTAAATGAAGATCAAGTGATCACAATGTTAGTGGACTAAATGAAGATCGGTAGGTTACAGCCTGACTGGACAAAATGGATATGGATTGATCACATTGTAATTGGACTAGATGCAGATCATGTGATCACAATGTTAGTGGACTAAATGGCTAAATACATCATGACTGGACTAAGTGGATATGGATGGGTCACAATGTTAGTGGACTAAGTGGATATGGATGGGTTACAATGTTAGTGGACTAAGTGGATATGGATGGGTCACAATGTTAGTGGACTAAGTGGATATGGATGGGTCACAATGTTGGTGGACTAAATGGAGATTGGGTGGTCACAATGTTAGTGGACTAAATGAAGATCAAGTGATCACAATGTTAGTGGACTAAATGAAGATCAAGTGATCACAATGTTAGTGGACTAAATGAAGATCAAGTGATGACATTGTTAGTGGACTAAATGGAGATCAAGTGATGACATTGTTAGTGGACTAAATGGAGATTGAGTGATGACATTGTTAGTGGACTAAATGGAGATTGAGTGATGACATTGTTAGTGGACTAAATGAAGATCAAGTGATCACAATGTTAGTGGACTAAATGGAGATCAGATGGGTCACATTGTTAGTGGACTAAATGGAGATTGGGTGATCACAATGTTAGTGGACTAAATGAAGATCAAGTGGGTCACATTGTTAGTGGACTAAATGGAGATCAAGTGATGACATTGTTAGTGGACTAAATGGAGATTGGGTGGTCACATTGTTAGTGGACTAAATGAAGATTGGGCGCTTACATTGTTAGTGGGCTAAATTGAGATCAAGTGATCACATTGTTAGTGGACTAAATTGAGATCAAGTGTGGTGACATTGTTAGTGGACTAAATGGAGATTGAGTGATGACATTGTTAGTGGACTAAATGGAGATTGGGTGGTCACATTGTTAGTGGACTAAATGGAGATTGAGTGATGACATTGTTAGTGGACTAAATGGAGATCAAGTGATCACAATGTTAGTGGACTAAATGAAGATCAAGTGATCACAATGTTAGTGGACTAAATGAAGATGAAGTGATGACATTGTTAGTGGACTAAATGGAGATCAAGTGATGACATTGTTAGTGGACTAAATGGAGATTGAGTGATCACATTGTTAGTGGACTAAATGGATATCAAGTGATGACATTGTTAGTGGACTAAATGGAGATCAAGTGATGACATTGTTAGTGGACTAAATGGAGATCAAGTGATCACATTGTTAGTGGACTAAATGGAGATTGGGTGATCACATTGTTAGTGGACTAAATGGAGATCAAGTGATCACATTGTTAGTGGACTAAATGGAGATCAAGTGATGACATTGTTAGTGGACTAAATGGAGATCAAGTGATGACATTGTTAGTGGACTAAATGGAGATTGGGTGGTCACATTGTTAGTGGACTAAATGGAGATTGGTGATGACATTGTTAGTGGACTAAATGGAGGTTGGGTGGTCACAATGTTAGTGGACTAAATGAAGATTGGGTGATCACAATGTTAGTGGACTAAATGAAGATCAAGTGATGACATTGTTAGTGGACTAAATGGAGATCAAGTGATGACATTGTTAGTGGACTAAATGGAGATTGAGTATTGAGTGGACTAAATGGAGATTGTTAGTGGACTAAATGGATTCAGATTCAGTGATTACATTGTTAGTGGACTAAATGACAAGTGTTAGTGGACTAAATGAAGATCAAGTGATCACAATGTTAGTGGACTAAATGAAGATCAAAAGTGATGACATTGTTGTGGACAATGTTAACTAAGTGGATATGGATGGACTAAGTGGATATGGATGGGTCACAATGGAAGAAGATTGGTTAGTGGACTAAATGAAGATCAAGTGATCACAATTGAGTCACAAATGTTAGTGGACTAAATGAAGATCAAGTGATGACATTGTTAGTGGACTAAATGAAGATCAAGTGATGACATTGTTAGTGGACTAAATTGGGAATCAAGTGATGACATTGTTAGTGGGACCAAATGGAGATTGAAACACATTGTTAGTGGACTAAATTGAGATCAAGTGATCACATTGTTAGTGGACCTAAAATTGAGATCAAGTGATGACATTGTTAGTGGACTAAATGGAGATTGAGTGATGACATTGTTAGTGGACTAAATGGAGATTGGGTGGTCACATTGTTAGTGGACTAAATGAAGATCAGTGATGACGTTGTTAGTGGACTAAATGAAGATCAAGTGATCACAATGTTAGTGGACTAAATGAAGATCAAGTGATCACAATGTTAGTGGACTAAATGAAGATCGAAGTGATGACATTGTTAGTGGACTAAATGGAGATCAAGTGATGACATTGTTAGTGGACTAAATGGAGATTGAGTGATGACATTGTTAGTGGACTAAATGGATATCAAGTGATGACATTGTTAGTGGACTAAATGGAGATCAAGTGATGACATTGTTAGAGGACTAAATGGAGATTGGGTGGTCACATTGTTAGTGGACTAAATGAAGATTGGGTGGTCATATTGTTAGTGGGCTAAATTGAGATCAAGTGATCACATTGTTAGTGGACTAAATTGAGATCAAGTGGTGACATTGTTAGTGGACTAAATGGAGATTGAGTGATGACATTGTTAGTGGACTAAATGGAGATTGGGTGGTCACATTGTTAGTGGACTAAATGGAGATTGAGTGATGACATTGTTAGTGGACTAAATGGAGATTGGGTGATCACAATGTTAGTGGACTAAATGAAGATCAAGTGATCACAATGTTAGTGGACTAAATGAAGATCAAGTGATGACATTGTTAGTGGACTAAATGGAGATCAAGTGATGACATTGTTAGTGGACTAAATGGAGATTGAGTGATGACATTGTTAGTGGACTAAATGGAGATTGAGTGATGACATTGTTAGTGGACTAAATGAAGATCAAGTGATCACAATGTTAGTGGACTAAATGAAGATCAAGTGATGACATTGTTAGTGGACTAAATGAAGATCAAGTGATCACAATGTTAGTGGACTAAATGAAGATCAAGTGATGACATTGTTAGTGGACTAAATGGAGATCAAGTGATGACATTGTTAGTGGACTAAATGGAGATTGTTTAGTAGGGCTAAATGGGAATCAGTCACATTGTTAGTGGACTAAATGAAGACGTGGAATTGGTGATGACTTACATTGTTGGTGGGACTAAATTGAGATCAAATGAAGTGATCACATTGTTAGTGGACTAAATGAGATTGAGTTAGTGGACAAGTGATGACATTGTTAGTGGACTAAATGGAGATTGAGTGATGACATTGTTAGTGGACTAAATGGATATCAAGTGATGACATTGTTAGTGGACTAAATGGAGATCAAGTGATGACATTGTTAGAGGACTAAATGGAGATTGGGTGGTCACATTGTTAGTGGACTAAATGAAGATTGGGTGGTCATATTGTTAGTGGGCTAAATTGAGATCAAGTGATCACATTGTTAGTGGACTAAATTGAGATCAAGTGGTGACATTGTTAGTGGACTAAATGGAGATTGAGTGATGACATTGTTAGTGGACTAAATGGAGATTGGGTGGTCACATTGTTAGTGGACTAAATGGAGATTGAGTGATGACATTGTTAGTGGACTAAATGGAGATTGGGTGATCACAATGTTAGTGGACTAAATGAAGATCAAGTGATCACAATGTTAGTGGACTAAATGAAGATCAAGTGATGACATTGTTAGTGGACTAAATGGAGATCAAGTGATGACATTGTTAGTGGACTAAATGGAGATTGAGTGATGACATTGTTAGTGGACTAAATGGAGATTGAGTGATGACATTGTTAGTGGACTAAATGAAGATCAAGTGATCACAATGTTAGTGGACTAAATGAAGATCAAGTGATGACATTGTTAGTGGACTAAATGAAGATCAAGTGATCACAATGTTAGTGGACTAAATG